ATTATTGTGGACAAAAGATGTAGATCCAAGAGAATATATTGCACTGTACATTTCAAACTAAAACCTGATGGGAATTATTGCTGTCAGTATTTTGTATTTTTCGAAAAGCATCTGGCATTTGTTTACCAATTTTTAACTTATTGTTATGCCTAATAAATAAATTATTTTTTAGTATTTTGTGGTTATATTTCATGTGGAGGAAATTACTTTTGGAAAAATCTGTTCTACGTGACGCTTGAAAATCAGACTGAATCAGAATACATGATTTCACCATATTCAACTTACCTGAAGATTTTAATATAATCGTAGGTTTGTCTTAAACATTTACCTCTGTTTAAAATTACATCATTGATGTTAAACTATGCATTCAATTATTGCCTTTGTTAAAATAATTTGATTTTAGGAGGAGATCATCATGTGGAAGGTAGAGAACCTCTTCCAGAAATGAAACTAGAGTCCAGTCTTATGGGTGAAGAAAGATCTAATATTCACTTAAACTCTCCTCCACATACATTGACCCTAGAGGAACACCACTATCCTACTCTATATGAAGAAGAAACGAGTGAAAGAGAACCAAAAGATCAGTCTCGGAAAGTTGATCTAGAATCCTTACCACAGAAACCAACACAATCTAGGTATAACAGTCAACTAGTAAAAGTGCTAATTTGCTCTAATTTCTATGAAGTTACTACTCATTAATTAAATACCTTATAGAGAATGATTGGATTTTTGTGAAGATTATAAGAAAATGGGTTTTTTTATATGTTAAGTTTCCTGATTAGTTATCTCACTGTATTCTTGTGCTTTCACTGTGTAAAAGATGCATCCTGGGCATTGGTTTACTTTCTTTGAAAATGTATGCTCTGACAATAGATTTTATAATCTGTAAACAGAAGTATATGAAAGTATTATGCAGCTGTGTGTTTATTCTGATTATTAGGGGATTTTTGTATTTTTAACTTGTGGTTTGACTTGTTTTTTTATTTACCCTTTTTTTCTTACAGTCTTGCACTTCCCTTTTCACCACCACCTGATGGACTGATAGTTAAGTCTACTAACGAAGAGGTTGCTCTTCTTCGTAACCAAGTTCATCATCTAAGTCGTCGTATGCTTGCCGTTGAACAGGAGAATCAACAAATACAACATAGAGAAGTAATTCTCTACACAATGAGTGCACTTTATTTCCTCTTAAAAGGAATAATGTGGATCTGTCGTCACTGGTGATCATATGTTCATTTTAGGATTTAAGTTTAACTTGAATCTATGTGATATACAGACCAACAAGACCTATTCCTCAAAACATTCTGGGAATATGGATCAACGATCACTGTATGACAGGTCGTTCTTGACAGATAAAAAAAAATATCTTTTGTGAAATATAAATGGAGAGTGTGTTTTTTTTTAATTTCTTGTATGATTTTACAACTTTAGAATCTTATAGATTGTTTTCGGGTTTTAAAGGAAACCTTTAAAATATTTTCTCTCTATCGAATTTTAAGTAGAAGTAGTTTTAATGCACTTTTACTATTAAAAATAAAATGATGGTTTTGACTAGAGATTTGTATGTAACTCAGTAAAGTTTATTACTGTTAATAACATAATGCTGAAATATTTTGTGTTCGTATTGCACTTAATGCTCGTAAGATTACTTTTAATTGTCCGTGTTTGTGGTGTATTATTACAGAATAGAAGAATGATTTAAAGTAATGTTATTAACTCTTTAGGCATTACTGACAAGACGTTGACACAAACCTAACTAAATGATACGCCCAGTGAGGCAAACACAACGCATGTATCTGCACTATGTGATTTCATAGAAAAGTGAATTCTAATGTTTAGTAAAATTCAGTCCTGGTTATAGTTACATGCAAAATAATGTGTGCTTATGATTACATTATAAAATTATTGAAATGTGCATACATCATCTTAATGCAGGATCTATAACTTGCATACAATGTTATATATTCACCATCTGATTTTTCGTTATGGTGCTATTTAAACACCAAGCCATATTTGATAAACCAAAAAACCAGTAGACTTTATTTGTAGCCGTTTGTATTAGCTCAGCGTTATTAATTATCCAGTTTACTTTGTACCAATAATTTTGTATCTGAATGAACTTCAAGGTGAATTACTAAGCATATAAATTTCTTATTTGAAATATTAAAATTGGCTAAAGTGAAATTCTTTTAAAGATACACCTGCCAAAGAATTAAAACACAACAGCCCAGTGTTTCACTTTCAAATGGAACTTTTTTTTTATATATATATATATTCAAGGGCACCTGATTCATCCAGATTTGTGCCAGTAGTTAACATCTGCTTTGCACCATCTACTGGTTTGTCTTTAGTAGTTAGTAAAGACCTATATACCTGTTCAAGTGGGTGTTGATCTGCATCTCTCTTTACTAAGTGTCGACTTAATCCGATGATAAGCTCCCCTTCTATAAATATGCTGTGCAACACATTTTCCTCACAATCCAGTATTTTATCATCTTCCCAATCAGTGGAATGATCTGTTTATGATGCTTGTTCAGCTAAAGTTGATTCTGTTATTTTTCTTCTATGTTTTTATTTTTGGATGTACAAAAAAAAAAGCTAGTTTGTGTCTTATGCAGATGTTTGTACATCCACATAAGACACAAACTAAGTTTAAAAAAAAAAAATTAATATTAGTTGAAGCAAAACTTCTAGTAATTCTTTTGCTCACCTCTCAGATGTAAAGTAACCCAATTTTTTTTAAGTCAGTTTTGGTTTGGGTGTTTTAGGTAAAATTGCATAATTTTGAAATGCCTAAGGATAGTCATGTTGTTTTAATATATTCTTAATATCATGCGGTGTAATCAGCGGGTTTTTTTTATAAGAAGAACATTGCAGATATTGTTTGTTTAGTAATATAAATAAGTAACAATTGCTCATTTTTTTTTACATCTTAGGTGATGGGAGGAACAATCCAAGCACTTGATTGTGTAAATATGTTTATGAAATACAATCATAGCACATCTACATCCAATGGTGTGGTTGACAGAAACATTTAATAAAGATGACTTTATTAGTTTGTTTTTTAGGCCCAGCATGGCCAGGTGGTTAGGGTGCTTCACTTGCAGTATGAGGGTTGCAGGTTCGAATCCTCGTCACACCAAACATGCTTGCCCTTTCAGCCATGGGGGCATTATAATGTGATGGTGTATTATTGTGGTGTATTAACATCTGCTTTGCACCATCTACTGGCTTGTTCAAGTGGGTGTTGATCTGCATGACTATATGACTATATACACTCAAGGTGGTGGGTGGTGATGACTACCTGCCTTCCCTCCAGTCTTTCAATGCTAAATTAGGAACAGCTAGTGCAGATAGCCCTCATACAGAGTTGCGCAAAATTCAAAACAAACCAAACTTGGTTCTTCTTTCAAATTAATTTTAATAATTTCATTTTTCAGCATATAAATATGTTAGATAAACTGAGATACTTTTTGATCGATAACATTTAAAATACCAATGATATATCGTTGCCAAAACTTAATTGGACTTGGAAATCTTTGAAAAGAAAGCAAAATAATTCTTTACCTGTTTTAGATGTTTGGCAATTTGTATGAGAAATCTTACTGGTACATTAAGATTTGTATAAAAACATCTTTGGTTATCTCACCTTGTAACAAAAAAACAATTAACGCAGTAGCCCTAACCTATCTAGTTGTGTTGAAAATTTTCAACAATTTCCCCAGCAAACTTAACTTTCAGTTTTCACAAATTTTAACCTAACTGTGAACAAACTACACAATAGAAAATTTCAATAAGAATCTTTTCAGCTTAAGCTCTTGCTATGACAATCACACATGTGGAGCCTAACACAAATAATTCCAATGTAAAGAGCTACAATAAACTGAATTATTTAAATACATATCAGTTAATGAGAAGTGATTGTTTTTGACATTTTGGGTGAGGGGAGGAAAAATCCGAGTACTTGATTGTATGAATAGCTTTACAGACTAGACTTGTAAACACTCAAAACGAAATATCTGAAAGACCATTGTATCATTAACTAGTTTGACTTTTAATAACTTTTGGTTTGTTAATATTCTAAGGTTAAGTTATTTTTCATAAAAGTATGACTATATACACTCAAATGTCAAGTTTCAATGAAATTCGTGTATTGATATTTTACTAAATCATTAAAAGTTACCCATAAGTTTACTAGAATCTGAAGACTTTAACACCAGAGTTACACATACTTGTTTACTTTATCCCATCTTGTAACTTGTAATAAAGATCTTGCATGTCAAGCTGTAATTAAATCCATTCAGGAAAACATCAGTTACTTTCAAATTAAAATATATCAAGATATGTACAAACATATATGTAAGGTGGTTGGAGCATAACATTGTATTCTTTTGGACATTTATAATTGCATCTCAATCACTAATGCATGTGTAACATTCCAGCAAGAACTCTGGTATTGGTTGAAAGGCCTCATTGGCACTAGATGTAGCAGATATGGTGTACTTGGTGTTATACACTCATAAATAGGCCCGGCATGGCCAGGTGGTTAAGGCACTCGACTCGCAATCTGAGGGTCGCGGGTTCGAATCCCCGTCACACCAAACATGCTCGTCCTCTCAGCCGTGGGGGCGTTATAATGTGACGGTCAATCCCACTATTCGTTGGTAAAAGAGTAGCCCAAGAGTTGGCGGTGGGTGGTGATGACTAGCTGCCTTCCCTCTAGTCTTACACTGCTAAATTAGGGATGGCTAGCGCAGATAGCCCTCGTGTAGCTTTGCTCGAAATTAAAAAAGAAACAAACAAAAACACTCATAAATAAGCTGAAAAAATAATAAACATGGAGAAGTAGACATATCACTAAACATTACCTACATGTAATTACTGCATTTTCTTTATCAGAATGTTTAAAAGTCATAAACGTGATAATCCTTTACTTAAGTAAAGGTTACATATGATAATGTCTACAAGCTTGTATCTCTTTGGCTGTCTGTGTCCACCCTTTGAAGGGAGTAAATGCATCTCATTGGATGACAGATACTTGTACATATTGTTATGAGAGCCCACACTCAAACATGTGATAATCCTTTACTTAAGTAAAGGTTACATATGATAATGTCTGCAAGCTTGTATCACTTTAGCTGTCTGTGTCCACCCTTTGAAGGGAGTAAATGCATGTCATTGGATGACAGGTACTTGTACATATTGTTACGAGAGCCCACACTCCCATTAAGAAATATCACTTGGAATAATGGGTAGCATATAGAGCTTAGCATTATGATATTCAACACTTGAACAAAATGTTTAATTTAAAAGAACGATAGGTCGTATTTTATTTTATTTTTTTTGTCTGTCTCGTGTGAACATGTAAGGAAATTCGACTCTTCACCACAGTAGATAGTAAAAGACAATTATAAGCTGTAAGCCAACCAGTCTGGTAAATACACAATTATTGTGAATAAAGAATTGTTCACTTGGTGTCTTTTTTCCTTTGCTGTTCATGCTAGTTTTATTCTTCGAATTCCTGTGAATACTTAAACAAATCTGTTAGATGTTGGTGTACCTAAATATCACAAAATAGTAAAAACTTCGGTACCTTATTACAGAGTTTATTTTAAACGTTTGTTTGTTTTCTCCATTGCACTCTCTAATACCATAACGTTCTTTAACCATGATTAACGTGGAAAACCAGTTTTAAAACTATGTAGTACTTGTAGCATAATGAAAGAAACTACAAGAATGTTACAAGGGGTAGAAGACGTACCCTTAGACCCAGAGCTTTTGATGGCAGTGATTTGTGCTATGTCCACATTCTCAATCAGTCCTTGATATTTGAGGTTGACCAAAACCTTGGATGGTTATCTCATGTTAAACAGTGAATATCTGTTTTTTTGAGGTCACTACTTTGCATCACTCATGAACTGAGTACAAAGCCTCTTAACAGTAAATGTCCCTGTGGGTAAACATATACATTCATATAATGTAGAGTAAACTAGCACCTGTGAAACCTTGCCATGTAAACTATACATATATGTACTGTAAGGCTGCTTGATTTAATTACCCAAGGTAATTTAAGTTAAACTGTTTGACGTACTTCATGGGTTGTACAACATAAGGTGATTAAAGAAACACTTCGTAGAAGTAATCAATTTATACATAGGAATGGGAGTCACAGAAATCCTACTCCTGATTTGACCATGTCTAATGACGGAAGGTTCACTTCCATTACCCTTTTAAGTAATGAGCTATTTTCTTTAAAATTAATTATTAAAACAGAATATCTAACTCAGAATGGTGAAATGTAACTTGAACAGTGTATGAACATCACGTGATCTAGGGGAACAGAATCCTACTAGATTTTATATAAGGGCTGAAAATTGGTAGCCAGTGGTAGTTTAACCTGCTTATAAGAAGCATGTGATTTTTAAATAAACATAGGTTTGTTTTTATTCCCCTTGTGTTTGTACTACAGTTGAAAATAAGCATTCATACTAGAACATAGAGCAGGAACAAACAACACCATGAATAAAACAGAAAAGGTGACTTAGTTTGAAAAATTTTGTCACACTTGTAACACAGCGTCTACTGATTACCTCTAATGGTCTGGAACACATGGCAACAGAACAAAACGTCTACTGATTACTCCTAATGATCTGGAGCATAGGGTAACAGAGAAGGGTTATGGTGACTTTGAGCAACCTAAACATCTGAAAACTTAGGAGTGTGGTCTCTGTGAAACATCAAGCCACTCATTAAACAAACCCAGACTTCACTGGGTGCTACTTTTAGTCACCCATTGTAATTAAATGTCATTTTGTTTTGATCCAGCGGGATTAATAGTATGTCAAGAGCCTTTCAGGATGACAAGGCGAACTGGCAACACTCCAGAACTATGTCCAGCTGCCAAGGACATTATGAGATATAATTACGAAGTGCTGCACAATATGTATCATTTTGACGAGCACATCATGATCAAAGTCATCCTACTATGTACTTAGACCAAGGAAGCCATATTTGTTAAGACATGAATACCTCTGAACTGCAAGAAGACGATGAGGATCTTCCCAAATGTGCAAAGCCTCCAGACTGTGCAGCTAATAACAGGTCCCTGTCAGCACTACCATTTGAATCAGGTAGGTCCACCAGTATTTAAGGGGACAGCAAAAGAGGATTGGGACCATTTACTCAAATCTATGTTACATGCAAGTTGTTGCTTGTAATTGAGGGACCCAAGGACAAATAGTGCAACCTTTGATGCTGAGTCTAGATAGCCATGAACTTTGCGCCTCAGAACATTTGGATGAGGAACAACTCAAAGAATGAGACAGTTTTCAACAAATTTTACCAAAGATTCAACCCTGTGAAGAACGGAGCAATCCTTTTGGACTAAATTCAATGTTCAAAGACAAGGACCCCAACTGAGCTTTCACACCTATACATAGCAGGGAATCTAAGTAGATTGTGCAAAAGATGTGAAATGAAAGAAAACAGTGTTTACGAGTAGCTTTTATCTTTGAATTGTGTTTGATTTGTAGAATCAAACAATTTTCGAACTATAGTGGATATTACTGAATGTTTTATCTCGGCGTTATTCCTAGGTAAAGTAGTCATAATTCACAAACTTTATATTAATTATATTGTAGTTTTATAATGTAGTTCTTGTGTAGACTACACAAACATAATTCTGGATTTATTTGTGAAGTGGTACATGATTTCACTTGTTTAAATTTTGATTATATATCAGAAGGCAGACTAAAGTTGTGATCAGAGGGAGTTACAAACCTTAGTCACGCTTGTAAAGTGGTTGACACAATTCCAGACTTTTCTATGTAAAATTCAGACAATGGTAGAATAACTCATATGTATTTGAAATGGCTGAACTTACTTACCAGTGAATATCGCCAAAGGCCAGCCTTGTCAGGGGTCTGACCATGGAAGTCACGCATACATTATTCCATACAGTTCTTTGTAGACTACACATCTACTGGTGATTAGAACAAATGTGTTATGACGTCATATTGACGAGTACATTAATCATGTAATACATGACACATGCACTACATTCATATCCAAAAAATATTTTCTAAGAAAGGCCAATATTATGGATTGTTTGGTTGTGACATTTATCCTTAAAACACTAACTGAACTTTTGACATTACCACAGGCTGAGTTGTTTCAATCCTAACAAGTAAATGGAGGCATGAAAGTTGTGAATTTCATGATGATCCACTGCCTTCTTGAGAGAATTACAGTGAAACACCAAACAGGAATGAAGACTTCAGCCTAGTACATCTTTGGTTTTAGACCTCCAGTGGCTCAGCAGTAAGTCTGAAGGCTTATAACGCTACGGTTTGTTTTTGAATTTCGAGCAAAGCTACACGAGGGCTATCTGCGCTAGCCATCCCTAATTTAGCAGTGTAAGACTAGAGGGAAGGCAGCTAGTCATCACCACCCACCGCCAACTCTTTTACCAACGGAGAGTGGGATTGACCGTCACATTGTAACGCTCCCACTGTTAAAAGGGCGAGCATGTTTTGATGGGACGGGGATTCGAACGCGCGACCCTCAGATTGCGAGTCTAGCGCCCTAACCATCTGGCCATGTCACTCCAGAATAAACCCTGAATATGTCATCCAATATAAGTACAAAATACACTACTAGTAGTTAAAAAGGTAGACAGTTGAGAGATGTGTTGTTGGTTGTCATGGTTACAGGAGTATGATCAGCGACGGACCAAAGAAGTTTGTATATTGTTAAGCACAAAACTACACAATGGGATATCTGTGCTGTGCCCACCACTGGTATCGAAAACCGGTTTTTTCTGGAGTGATCCTACTAAAAAGCAACTGTATGGTCCAGGAGAAGCACTAATTGTCTGAAAAGTTCCAGTGTCTTTCTGCCAGAAACTATAAGTATTTTTAATTATCTTGAATTTGATATTAGCGTGCTTTTATTTATTATTTTGTATTTTAAATATACTTTGTACATATTATATTGAATTTTTGAAATGTATTCTTTTCAATTTTATTTAGTTTTGGATCTTGATTTGTAAACTTGTATTCTCTTTTGAATGTTTTAAATTTTGTAAGTTTATTATGCAGTGCAGCTGTCTGGCTGTATTAATGTTATTATGTTTAGATTTGAATTGCATATTACTGTGCATTATGTTTTTTTGTAGCTGGAATTTATGTGTTACCCTTTTGTTTTATTTGGGGAGGATACCGTGATGTCTTGCGTGTCACTTGTAGACGATCATAACATCTTACGTGATTTGGCGAGTAATGTTTAAAGTTAAAATTCAGGTTCGGGCTATGCTTAGTCACACACTTTCTTTCTCTCAGGATAGACTTCCGTCAAATTAAACACGATGATCTTAAAATTAATTATTTTCTCCATAACCTCCTAGAAGAATTGACTCAAAAAAGTGCGTCTGAATTAAACAAGTAAACTTGCTTTTCTTGTCCAGTCGACAAAGTCACCTCATGACTTTTGTTCCCTCACAGCAGCATTAGAAGGATGTTGCATTCAGTGAATGCCATAATTGGCCAGCAAAGGATTTTAAAATAAGGTGTATTCCAAAATTCAAGGCTGACATTCAGCGTTGGCGCGTTCTATTCCTAAGGTCAATTTTTGTATTCCTTGACTTCTGGTGATGCTTCATCAATGGCTTAACATACTCAACAGCCTGAAGGAGAGTTGATAATTAAAAACGTAATATGGCAGTGCTTGTAAGAGGGATGTAATACTTGTAATGGGTGACTTAAAGGTCCCCCAGTGGCACAGCGGTATGTCTGCGAACTTACAACGCTAGAATCCGGGTTTCGATAACCTTGGTGGGCAGAGCACAGATAACCCATTGTGTAGCTTTGTGCTTAATTACAAACAAACAAACAAAGTTACTTAAAGTTTACTGTACTGTAGATGTAACAACTTGTTTCATTTAAAATATAATCACTTTAAAAACAAAACGTTTAAATAGAAACAAATTTGTATTTTAAATTTGATGACTAGGAACCCACTTTGAGACTAATAATCAGGTACCTGATGATGATAAAACCTTGTCGAAACGTTTTACATTTGCTGTTATGTTAAACTTATATTAAAGTTTTATTTCATTACCCATTGAAGCCGTCTCCAAGCAAAATTTGTATTTTCTAGCAACGTTTCGAACAACCACTTCACCTCAAGCTTAATACGAGAAAGAAATTAAAATGTTAAGAGCAGTTGCTCGAAAAATAACTAGATGAAATATATTTGTTTCTATTTCATTGATGTATTTTTAGAGGTAATTTATTTGATTTTATTGACCTCATATTGTACTAAAATTCCAATTCTTCTAATAACTTTATTTCTTGTGTTTTTGTGGGCAACACAATTACTCATTCTTGACTAAAATCTACCTCTTAATGACCTATTTAAATTGTCATCTTCCCACAAATGTTTACTCTGAGCAGTTTAGATGTTGGAGTTGTAGCTGTACTTAGTTACCCTCCAACACCTGATGCTGTTGAAACTAAGACATAATACACATTCCTCTACATTTTCCAATGACAAACAATTTTCACCTTTAAGTGCTAGCCATGCTGTTGGTATACGATAATAGACTGCACTCGATTTACATCCGGAATTTAAGTTCTTACCTATATTGAGTAACTTCGGATCATCGATCCAGACTATACGGCATGTCAGGTCTTTACACTCTAAGTCAGTTCGTGACCCCACACACTTTACATACTCTTTTTGGTGTTCAAGCCCTATAAGCCAAAACAAGGGACAGGAACAGAGACTTGCAAGCACTGGAGGTCCTCCCTTTCTCAAAGAGGTAATTTCCACGACACGCCTAAAATGTCTGTACTCACTTCCATACACCCAAAACCAGGTAACATGATAAACTATCAACTCGACAGCTAGCCATACCAAGGACGGTCGTCTCAGGTACGGTTCAAACTGAGGTAAAACCCCGAGTTCTCCTCGATCTCCAAGAACTTCCATCCCAGCACAGCCCGCCGACCAGGACAAATCACCATGCCCACGGCCCCTGAAGACACGAATCAGTTTCAACTCAACGATCAGCCACGTCAGGAATTTCAGCCAAAAAACTTCAACCCCCTCATAGCAACCATCGAGCTTCCTCTGCCGCACTCCAGGAGTAGGCTCCCAGACTCCATCTCGTACAGTCAGTCGCCGCTCCTTCAGTTCAGATAACACACTAACTATTCTAACTAAACCCTTACTGTGTGAAGAGAGTAAGGCATGTCTCCACCTTACCCTGCGACCACAGTCAGTTCTACAATCTATTAAAGGTATAAAAGAACTTACCCTACTTACCCTTTTGTAGGACACTCTTATGCTGGTTACTATAGTCGTTACATACTTCCGTAGCTTCCTTTTTTCTTCCATTACCAGTTGGGATTAAAGGGGGTTCACACATATGTTAGTTGCACAACACAACTTAACCTGCACAGTCAAAGTCACTTTTTTTACGGTCCACGAGCCATTTGTTCTAGCACCTGTGCAGGTTAAGTACACAAACTCAGTCACTGACCAGACTTGCGTCTCTAGCTTTGGCCGGTCCGCCATGGTTTCCTCCTCCGTCGTCCACTTGAAGTAAGCGATTGTTGTCTGCGCTGACATAGTGAATTGTTAAAACTTCAGATCGAAAAATCCGCCTTTCTGCTGAAAAACTCTCGACACTTCCGAGGCCCATCTCTTCTTGAACTCTTCTTCTGATAGACGGTGGTAGTCTATCTTTAACCTTATTCTCGTATTTGTTCTTACCTTTCTTATCACCACCGGAACACTTTCTTTTGTTTCCTCGTATACAGCTTTACATCTCGCGGACCAGATCTGATATTTAAATTCGCTCACAAGGAATAATAGAGAAAATTTATGAACAAAATTCACTGGTAACGGTGTATTAAACAGGACAGTAGTGTAATTTATCTTACCCATGCCGAATATTATGGCAACCCTTCTCCAAAATACATTTATGTATGGGCAGTCATAGAAAGCGTGTTTCACCGTTTCTATGCACTGACAGTATGGACATTTATTTGTTTTAGTTAATTTGAAACTGTATAATCTAACTCTAGTGCTGACTATATTGTGAGCTATTTTATAATTTAAGTCTCGT